TAGAGTTACGAATTTTAGGTATTTAAAAAGGATTAGGGTCGGTAATTAAATACCTTAGTCCTTTCTTCTAGATTAATAGGGAACCTACTTAGCTCCGGTAGGTAAGCGAGCTCTCTTTATTAAAAATACGAGGCTATATCTATATAGTAGGGTACGTCGTAGGGGCTGTCTAGGTAATTAGTCTATTAGCTAATTTCGGAGGAACGGATAGGGCTCTCTTTTATTAGTAGCGAGCCGAAAGAGGTAGTAGTAGTCGTTCTAGTAGGGCTCTTTTACGAGTAGGTAGGGGTATCTATAGGAAATAGGCTCTATTAAGCTACTATTTCTTAGATAACCTAGGTTAAAGACCCGGAGCGAATCCTTAGATTTATTAAGTCTAATAACTTACTAAGCTATTATAATAGGTCCTTAGGTTTAGTAGCTTTTCTAGGTTAGAGCGATACCTATATCGATTCTAGTAGTTCTATTACTTCTTAGTAGTTCTAGTAGTATCTCCGTAAGTATCTAAGTTATCTTTAATAGCCTCTTAAGATTAAATACTAAATATAGTCTTTAAATCGTAGGCGTTATTATTACCTAATAGGTCGTACTATCCGTACCTAAGAGCTACTATTCGTCTATCTCGGCCGTATTTATAGCGTTAAAAGAGGAATATAGCCCTGCCTTCGGCTCTAATAAAGGAAGTAACTATAACCTAACCCTCCTATATAGAGGTATTAAGCTATAATTAACGTAGTAATATATTAGCTAATCTAGCTCCTATATAAGAGACTCTATAATAGAAGGAATAAAGAGTAGTACTAAAGAGGTATATACTAGAGTAGATATAGGTCTATTAAGTGTGTCGTAAAGCTATAAGTAGGTCGGTAGAGCTACTAAGGCACGCTTACTAAGGATTTTTAGTTAGTTATAAGGCACCTAGATACGTAGTACTAGGTACTTCGGACTTCTACTACTTATTAATAGTTAGGTAAAAGACTCTATCTCTATATACCTAAACTATTTTAGATATTAATACCTAGCTTTTAGAAAGTATACCTACTAAGAAGAAGTTTCGGACTAGCTATATCTACGCTATATATAAGAATAGTATACTCTCGTTCTTTACTCTTTATATTCTTTATACGTAGCTTTAGGTCGTAGGTACTATAGTAGGTAGTTCGTTAGCTCTTAAGCTAGGTTAGGTATAGTAGTAGAGAGGAAGCCTATAGTAAATTATTTTCTACTATAAACTTTTAACTAACTAAAGAGACTTATACTACTATATCTAGTATAGTACTAACGTCTCGATCCTCTTATAATGTCTCTAAGGCTACTATAGTAGTAATCGTAGACTCTAATTTAACTATTCTAAGCTCTACTATTATCGAAGAATTAATAGTAAGCTCTATTCTTTTTTTCTATTACTAATAGTAAGCTTATTTAGATTATCTTTACTACTACTACTATCCTAGTTCTATAGGTACTTAAGAGAGTAGTAGTTCTTTAATCTATAAATATAGTAAGCTCTAGGTAGCTACTATAGTCTATCCTTTAGCTTCTAATCCTTACTACTCTATTTATAATTTAGTAGCTTATAATTGTTCTTCTATTAATACTACTTACGACTCTTCTTTATATAGGAGTCGCTATAAGTAGGCTATAAAGCGAGTATAGATCTTATATAGTACCTATCTTTAGTCTCTATATTCTTTTCTAGCTATTATACTAGATTTAAGAGACTCTCTTATATACTAGATATATTTATATAATTAGTAATTACTTTATAAAGCTTTAGTTAAAGCCTAGCGAAGAAGTACTAGAGCTTCTACTTATCTATATATAGATTAATATTAGCTTTAAGCGTTTCGAGATAGGTTAGGAAAGCTAGTATATCTTGTCCTTCTCTCTACTTTACCTCTATATATTTAATATAGGCCTCTAAGATCCTTACTAGTAGATTATTAAGTAAGTTAAGAAGATACTATATAAAAGATTTCTATATCTTATTATCTCTCTCGATTAGATTTACTCTCTACTATACGTACTAGTAGTCCTTTAGTATATCTAAAAGAAACTATATAGCCTATAATACCTTATCCTTATTACTCTTAAATTAGCATAGTATCTAAGAGAATACGATTTTATACGCTATTATCTAATCTTAGTATTCCTTTATAGATTTCCTAACGTACGTTAGTAGATTCTTAATAGAGTACTTAGTAGTTAGGATATACTTCTACTATAATTCGGAGAGTTCTCTTTTATATTCTATAAGACTACTACTAGATACTATAGGTAGTTTAGTAGTAGTATTCTCTAGAACGAATTCTCTCTATAGCGTCGCTACCTCTTTCTTAAGTAGACGTAACTTAGTTCTTAATATAATACTATAGACTCGATTTGCTATATCGATACGTTATTTAAGCTCCGCTTTATTAATTTCGTCTTTGTCTTCTTCTTCTAGTATAGGTATAAGATTCTAGGGACTATAAACTATTAATAGTTTACTACTACTAGTTCTTCTATTTTACGCTTATTCTATAAGTAACTCTTATTATAGATTATCTACTTCTTAGGTCTAATAGGCGTAGCGTAAGTTTAGTAGGTTCGTATTTAGTTCTTCTAGATTAGTAGTACTTTATATAGATACTATCCTAGACTACTACTCTAATAGTAGAGAGAGAGAATTATTATATAAAGAATTACTATATAGATATAGAGATATTAGTATAATATCTAGAAATATAGTAGTATAGGTATAGCGATATATACTAGAATAATCCTAAAGAGACTAGAAGTAGGTCGTACGACCTATTAATATCTAAGGATATATACTAAGTATTATATAACTACTAGAGTAAGCTCTAGACTAACTTATAACTAACTTATAAGAGATTCGTAAGGCCTCTATAGGGCCTTACTATACGTAATATTACTACGTAATATATCGTTACTAGATCGTAAGAGGTTTATAAGGCCTCTATAGAGCCTCTCTATATATAATATTATTATATAATATCTTAGTACTAGATTATAAGAGGTTCGTAAGGTCTCTATAGAGCCTTCGTAAGGCCTTACGTTATATAATCTTACTACGTAACGCGACCGGATCGCCTACGACATACTTACGTATTATATAAAGATAGGCTTAAGATATTCTTCTATAGAGTTAAAGAGAAAGTAGAGGTCTATCTAGTTAACCTAGGTATTATACTTCTTATAGTTACTATAGTAGAAGTCTAGCTTACTAATCTTAAGGTTCTTATCTCCTTTATATATAGCTAAAGCCTAAATAGCTTCGTTAGTCCTTAGTTGTCCTACTTTACTAGAGGTAGAAGTTCCTCTAGAACTTTATTAATTAGATATTCTTAAGAGTATTTAAAGCTATTAAGTCTATAACTTAATAATCTTATAATATATAAGAATTACTTATATAAGGCTTAATTAGTATTAGGCTCGTTAGTAGAGAGGTCTAGTAGAGGAAGAGTAAAGCGATAGAGTAGTATAGTAACTTAAGGGATTGTATTCTAAGTAGTAAGATACTATAGTAAGTTAAACATACCGAAAGCTAGAGGCATTCTTAGTGTTCCTATATACTTCTATCTACGGCGGGTAAACTAATTAAACTAATTACTAAGTAGACTAATTAAACTAATTACTAAGTAGACTAATTAAACTAGTTACTAAGTAGACTAATTATACTAATTACTCCCTTACTAACTACCTAGTTAGTACTCTACTATATCTGCCTTAATTAGTCGTAGCTATAGGTAATAGTCTAATTAACTCGTAATAAGTAGCTAGCCTACTCTATAAAGGAAGGGCTAGCTACCTACTAGCTAGTAGGCTATATCTCTATAGAAGCTAGCGTAGATAGCTTAAGTAATAGATATATATAGACTATATTATCTTACTATCTAGTATATAATACTAGAAGTAGAAAAAGTTCTTTTATATAAACTTATAAATACCTTAGATAGTAAGTTACTAGTATAATAATAGTAATTACTCTATAATACTAGATAGTAACGTAGCTTTCTCTAGTAACTAGCTTATAGTAGTAAGAGTTAATATAAGTATTTACTATAAAGGTTAAAAAGGCTATAAATAGTCTATCTAGAAAAGAAGATAGTTATAAGAGTAGCTAGTATAAGAAAGAGAAGCTAGAGGAAATACTAAAGTTAAGCGCTAAGAGACTAGCTAACTTAGCGCTAGCGAAGTATATATAAGCTATCTATAGTAGAATTAGACTTACTTCCTTAGAGATTAGTCTTACTATTAATTAAGTAATTACTTAGAGTATCTTATATATTATTCTATTTACTATTATAATAGTATTCTATTATATATATTTTAGAAAAAGCTATTTATTTATAAAAAAGTAAAATAAATATATAGTATAAGATAGTAATTAGCTATAACTTAAATTACTAAGAAAAGAAAAGAAGAAAGTAAGAGATTCTAGTAGAAATACTTTCTAAACTAAGATAGTAGTAATTTAGATTTACTTAGATCTAGTAAAGCTATAGAAAAGTATAATAGAGTTACTAATATCTAGTCGAGTTATATTAATTATAATACTTAAAAGAAAGAAACTCTATTAAATTAAATATCTTTAGTAAATAAATAGTAGTATAGGTTAGTATAGTAGATAGCTTTCTATTAGAATTTTAAGAGAGTTAAAACTAAGCTAGTATAACGCTCCTTTACTCTACAGGCTAGTAAAGCAAACTGCTAGAGTAGTTATATAAAGGCCGCGCGGCCCGAGTCTCGGCGCTGTCCCGGCTTACTCGGCCCGCTGTCGAGTTAGGCTACGTGTCCTCTCCCGTTATTATTACATAACGCGCCTCGCACCTCGCGCTTCATCTTACGCATTCGTAGACCTAGCGCGTCCACCTCGAGATAGCAATGAGAAAGGCCGCCTCGGATATAGTATGTACTCGGCATTTTAAGCAGTGCCTCCACACTGACGCATCGTCCCACGCAAGGCCACCTCCTCCCGCTTACGCGCAAGCGCAATGCGAGCCAACACGCACAAGCGCAAGCGAACCACCGCCAATTCAACCAACCCAGATGAGCTCGAATTCGATCCCGACCAAGAGTACAATTGCGAGATTATCAACGAGACCACCAAGTCCTTCACCCTACGCTGGACCGACCGCGACGCGAGGGGCAAGCTGATTTGGCCCAAGACGACCACATCACCGAAGGACCTCGTGAATGAGGCAGCTCTCAAGGATTGGGAGGCTAGGAAAAGACAGCGACAGGATATTGAAGACCAGCGCGCTCGCGACAGACGGCAGCGCGAGGAGACGGAAGAGCACCGGCGGAATACAATGCTCGCAGTTTTCAAGGATACCGAGGAGCAGATCCAGAGCGCGAAGAGAAGGGAAGCTGCAGCACGCCGTGCGAAGCGCGGGAGTCGTGAAACAGCGCAGGCACAACAGGCCCGCCGGGACAGCGAGTCGGAGGAGCCGCAAGCTGAGCAGGCGGAGAACATCGCACACAGCGCTGCCGATGACACGGGTATCGAAGAGGACCCGGCGGATGACACCATGTCCAGCGACGAGGGCATCGTGGTCGCAACTCCCAGAAAATGAGCGACTGCTGTTCCAACGTCCGATACAGACAGATAGATAAGTAAAACAGGATGCACGGATAAGATTTTCCACAACAGACAATGAAGAGCACTTCTCTTTTCGCATTGCCTACTCTCCCGCCTCCTTTCTGTCTCTTGTTCAACATGTGCAGTGCAGCGGTTGTCTGGAACGAGACCCAAAGCGAGGCTGTCGTGGTGTGAGTAGCGATCAAGCGCGAGATCAGGCATGAACGATCTCGAACGAGAATGTTGCATCTGGATTTCTAATGGTTCCCGGTGGACCACAATGCATTGGCGCCTAAGTCACCCGCTGTATGTATCCCCTCGCATCAAGCATTTTCGATCGCAGCTGAGAGTTCTTATACAATCTTGAGAAGGAAGAGAAAGCAGGCTCGCGACCAACGCTCCAGCAGCTGCAGACGGACTGGGCAGGCGCTGCGGCACAAGCACATGGTGCTGCGGGAAAAGCACACGGTACTGCGGGAAAAGCACACGGTGCTACGGGAAAAGTGCAACGTACTGCGGGGACACGAGTAGATACGGAGAGCAGAGAGTACTGTTAGAGAGTGCTTCTGCTCGCCACGAAACATATCCAGTATAGCGAGGGCGAAAATGAAATCACTGCGGCGATCGATTCGAGTAAATGCCTACTACGAGCCTTCTCAATACGTCGACCGACGCCTTCGCGTGACTCGCGTCATACATCACAACAGGAACTCTGTCGACATTGTTCACTCGCAGCATGGTGGCCATGATGTCTTCTGTGACCTGTCTGTTTGGCACGACGATTTATGGCGAAGCTCCTCTTCTTTCTCTTCGAATCTTTCCTTGAAGCTTTCCCTTCCGCTCTCGCCGCCTGAGTCGCATGACTTGGGAGCGTGCCCGGTGGATAAGGCTCTGATCCTAGGCTTTGAAATACTGCGCGGCATATCTGCGGATAGTACTTAGGACACGTGCGGAGATACAGGGCAGCGCCGTGGCTGCCAAAACTTAGGAGGTGCATTGTGGCAGTTAACGTCTGCAAGTGCGAAGGGTGATAGGTGATAGCGCCCGACCTCTGCCCCGCGAGCACATGGTGCTCGAGCTCATTGTGCTCGAGTATAATACTGTCCTCGGTGCATGAGACTTAGTGGCCCATACCTAATGGCCGATACCTAATGGCCGATACCTGATAGCCGATACCTGATGGCCGATACCTAATAGCGATCCGATACCTGATGCCGATACCTAATAGCCGACGCCAATCCGATACCTGGTGGCCGATACCTAGTGCCCGATGCCTGGTGCCCGATGCCTGGTAGCTAATGCCTCGTACGGGTCATGGAATCAAGATCAAGTGATTCAAGTCTACGCACCGAGGAGAAGCAATATAATCGACCGAGCAGCACAATGTCTGTGTTGGATCTGCTATAGTAGAAAAGTTAAGAATGTGATTCTTTTTCCCGCGTCGGCTGGGGGCTAGTGGTTCCGCCGAGTGCAAGAGCCGACAGCCGATAATACAGCTCCGCGGAAGGAGGAACAGTCTTTGCTAAGAAGCGGAATTTGAGCATAGCTGAAATTGATGCGAGCAGTCGAATGGGAATACGGGTTGGCCAGATACGAATTCAGAAGCTACGCTGAACCGTCCAGTGTCTTCTCAGATGACCAAGACTGCGGCTTTCGATATAATGCGTGCCGCCGATCGAAGCGATCACCTGGTTCCTTCCGCTTAGCTTAATAACCCCGACACCCCGCTTCCCCGCTTCCCCACACTACCAGCTTTGCGCGATGCCCGCTAAGACTTCAAAATTTTGCGAGCACGATACCGACAGCCGCGCCTTATCCTCGGGGACCATTAGATCGGGTTTCTAACAGCTCTTCGCGACCGCAACACATCTTCAAAGTCCACGGCAGTATGATCGTGGACTCCGGAACGTGAGGGGACAAGGTCGAGCTGCTTTTGCGCCCGCGAGCAACACATTCCCTCTTCTCTCGAATGACAACTGGCGCGCATCCGTAGATGGGCGCATCAATAGGCCACAAGACGACTCCAAACCGCTGGGATACGCCGACGAGTGCGTCATACTCGGAGTGCGTCATACGAGTCCATTGCATAAATGACCGCGTCAAAGTTCCGAAAGGAATTCAGTGTGTCTGTGACCTTTCTTTGGTTGGCCGATCCGGGAGATCGCCTATGAATGCAGGTGGGTTATCTGCCTCCACTAGACCAGTTGCTGACTTTATACTTCCCACTGTTCCCAGTCGACTAGGATATCGGACGAAATCGTCAATTCGATTCGAGCGCTCTGTTTCGGGTCCAGGCCCCGCCGCGAGGCATTCGATCAGCCTTCTCTCCTTTTGCAGATCTCCCTAGCTCGACATTCAGCGAAGTTGGGCGGTACACAGCCCCGTGCAGAGGCGCGTCCGTAGCGGTCTGCAGCACGTCGACCCTAGAAGGAGATGTAGACACCCACGGGGAGGCGCGAGTGTATCGTGCTGGAAAATTGGAAATATCGCAATTTTTAGGCCTGAGACGAAGCAAGAAGGAGGCCCACAACCCATCTGGAGAGGAGGGCTACCGATGCAGAAGGAGCTCGGACTGAGGGACACACAGAGTATGCAAGGCACCTTAAGGATCAGCCGGATGTCAAAACACCTCCCGAATTGCATCACTGGAACGGAAAGGCGGAAGGCAACATCACTTCGCGCCTTGAATGTGCATCACGAACGACATTCCGTTGCCGATGGTTTCGCAGGGTTTCATCCTGACCAGAGGCACCTGGAATACAGCGCCCTTCGTGTCCGCAATCTTCCGCAACCCATATCGGCAGAAGTCAATCTGTCGACCCGATTGAACGCGAACACCATCGAGCCAAAACGCTGATTCCGTCGTCTCATGGAGTACAAAACCGGGGCAAACGTGTATGAAACGGAACCCTACCAACTCTGACTCCAAATTCGTCTCGTCGATGTCACGCAGCCTCGCGCTTTGTCCTGCGGGTTGGGAGACTATAAAAACATCGTTTTCCGGTCATCTGGAAGCATTCGATCGTATGGATCCACGGGCAAGATGAAACGGTAAGATCGTTGTCACTTATACAGTTTCATACTGCCTGTCCTCTGCCACATTTTACGCCTAATGTGTCGCTCGCTTGGGAGCGCAGGAGGCGTACATCGATTGCGATCGCATTACGATTCTTACCGGGAGAGAGGAGGTCGAGTAAATGCATCTAGCCGAATCCTTTAGCCGCAGCCCATGAGAGCAGGGAACTCGCCGCAGATGATGCCCGCTCGAGCAAGTTCCTCGAAATACCAATCAGCGGGCTACCTCAGAATTAAATTAGGCATCTTGCTGCCTCTGGAACCTTCCACGGGCTCTCCACGCCCTTTGTCCGACAGCGGTGGCTGACGTGCGTTATCGTGGTGATAGTTTGATATGGGATCGACTTGCAACTCACCCGCACAAATCTTTCGATTCCGATAAGGAACCATCGAGTGACAAGGCGTATCGCTGCTACCTGAGCATTCTGTTCCTTGCGCGATGGGATAACAGAGCGGTATTGCTGGACTCCTGGCAGTGTGAATTTCACTTATGCAGTTCCGGGCTTTCGCGAGATGTTCTGCATGAGCACAATATGCACGAGCACAAGGTGCTTGTTCGATGGCAGGAGCATACAGCACCTTGGGCCATCCGAACAGATGCTTGAGAACGCAGGTGGGGTTCGTCACGAGACAGTACATTCGCACGGGACCGGCCGGGTCCGTCGGGAGCCAATTTGGACTGGCAAACGACGCAGCAGAGCGGCTGAATTGACCATTTGGATGACAGTGATATTGCGCCCATCGCCATCTCAGATCTGTTAACAACGGCATACAAAGAGCACACTGGATCCTTGCTCGAATAAACAGTAAGTCCACCGTATGCCAGAAAACGACAGTCTCCGAGCTGCTTTGGAAGTCTGGGGCACAGAACTACAGGCACACATCTCAGGACATTATTATTCCCATGTGCTCTACAATACATGCCCTCGTGAGCGAGCTTTCGTCACTGGAATTGTATTGCTTATCTTCGACTTTGGGTGGGTGACAGGCAAATCCTGCGCCGCGAGCACGCTCCAGGACTCCACAACTGACTCCACAACTAACAAAGCCACATCACTCGTTTGGCGTCAAAGATCAAACCAAAGCATTTGCGAGAAGCTGTCTTCAGCAGCAGCCGCGTCTGTTGTCACCGTTTCCCGGCCTTCGAGGCTTCGACAAGTTACTGAATGGACGAATATGCGCCGAAATGCTATCTTAGAGAGTCAGGTCATTCTCTGCTTCCGATGACGATGAGACTGAGCTTACGAATTGGAGGACATCCCCGATTCGGATCGAAGCTCAAAGCCAATGTCGCAGTAGCCCTGTCTTTGTGAGCTCGAGAGTGAACGCTGAGCGTGGCCCGGTGGGAATCTAGTTACATGCAATCCGCGTAAGGGTTTTGTCATTCCAATCTCGACTGACCTACGTGGACAGCGGCATCATTTATTGAAAGACATTGTCTGTGTTTCCATACAAGTCTGCATCATACTTTGCGACATCGGCACATGCCTTCAAGGGAAGACGGACCAAATCCTGCCACTAGTAAGCGATTGGCAAGCGGTGCGGCTTCTTCCATTGCTGGTACGTCGTGATCGATGAACGCAAAACCAAAGCGGGTAGCGAGAGAGAGCAGCGAGACGTTACATACCACCACATCCGTTTGGACGCCTCGTTGGAGCAGTCGCAAACGTGCCCTCCGCGCCAGGTCCCAAACGCTCTTGCCGTACCAGTCCTACACAGAAATACGACGGCACCATTTTCGACGAGGGGTGGCGCCGGAAGTGTTACCACTCTACGGTGATACGGGGCCGACTCTAGGCTCAGCACAACCTCACCCTGTAGAATAGCTTCAAGCCCTTTCGAAGATACCGCCGAGCATTGCGAAAGAAGTCTTGCACCAACTCTTGCAGCTTTTCGTCCGTTACCGCGCACCGATACCAA